ATATATATATACATATATATATATATATATATATATATATATATATATATTATATATTATATATATATATATATATATATATATATAGTATGTATGTGCACACACGCACATACATACAGTTTTTTTTTTTTCTTGTTATGAATGAGTAAGGGAGGGGGAAAAACTATTATAGTTTAAGGAATTCTTCTGTTTTCCTGCTTAGTGTAATTAGCAAACAGTTGCAAGACACTTTCCTACTTAAAAAGCCCGCCCCCGTGACCGCTGCTTAGAGGGAATGTATCGATGCTAATCCCGGCCTTTGCGTCGCCTCGACAGGTTTCCCGGGACTGTGCTCGTGCTGCCCCATGAAGCCGCCCTCCTTCAACCCGCTCTCCAGCCTCGGCTCCGCCTCCTCATTGGCCAACCCGCTCTCGTCGCTCACCAGTCAGGCGCCTTCCCTCGCCTCCTTGGCCAGTCACCAGACGCCGCCGCCGCCGCCGGCTCTGGCCTCGCTGGCCAATCACAACTCGCCCGCTGCCTCCCTCGGCGCGCAGCGGCCGCCGCCGCCGCAGCCTCGGCCTCGGCGGCTGCGGCGGCCTCGGACCCGCGCAGTTCGAGCGTGGCGGAACTGCGGCGGAAAGCGCAGGAGCACTCGGCGGCCGTCCTGCAGAGCCTGCAGCACGCCGCCTCCCTGCACAGCCTGCACCAGAGCCTGCAGCACCACCAGCACCAGCAGCACCACCACAGCGCCTCCTCCACAGCCCTCAGCATCGAGAACCTTCTGAAGAGCGACCCCTCCCCGCCCGCAGCCCCGCTCCTGGCCGCGGACAGGGACGCCGCGCAGCAGTAGGGCGCTCGCCGGCAGGGCCACGGCGCCCTCGGCCGCGGACCGCCGCCCGGGCCTCCCCGGGAAGGAAATGTATTTAGTGTAGCAGTTTCTAGATCTGAAGGACTCGCATCCTTCTCCTTCTCTCAAATCTCTTCTCTTCTCTCTCTCCCTTCCTTTCTTCCCCCTTTATCCACTTTCCCTTCCTCTTCTTTCTCCTTTATCTTGTAAGGATTTCGTCTGATGAAAAAGAGAGCAATAATAATCTCGGTCGATCTCCTTTAGTGCAATAAATGAGGCCAAATCTCGAACTTCAGACCAGATGACGCGTTCGCGCTTCAGTGTGAACTATGAAATAAAAGTGAGACATAGAAACAGAAGTCATATATATATATATATATATATATATATATATATATATATATATATATATATATATGTATATATATGTATGTATGTATGTATATGCATATATAAAGTATATATGTATATATATATATATGACTTCATCGCACTATTTTATATTCTATAGTTGGAGTAATGTAACATTCCCCGTACACAACCCCCCCCCCCATTCTGTGATGTGTTTTGATTGGCTATGATCAAACACCCTTGTGACCAATCACGAGGTTGTTAAAAGAATTTCCCTCGCGCGCGTGTGGAGTTGTGATTGGTCTATTCTCTTTTCGACAGCCAATCAGAACTCAGCATCGCATCCCCTGTGAAGCTGTGATTGGCCAAACGACTTCATCCAAGTAATTTCCTGCAATTAAATGACCCCGCGCTTAATCACATCCTGATATCGGCGGACCAGATGATCATGAAGTTATTTAACGAACAATTCAGAGAGAGAAAAAAAAAATTAACAAATAGAGACCGAGAAACAAATAACCGAACGAGTGATACACAAAAGATCAACCAAAAACAATCGAAGAAGTGATTAGCCAATCAGAACATAGTCTACACATCACGTGACCGGTAACAGCCGATAAGGTACCACCACGTTTCCCTCTCGCACCTCGGACTTAATAAAAGATACTAGTTAATTTGTAATGATTGTTCCATATGTATATACATTGAGACATGTTTGTGAAAGAATGCGTGCGTGTGAACGGGAAAGAGAGGAGAGAAAATGGGGGAAAAAAAGGACATGTGCTTGTACAGAGACCGGCTTGTGCTGTGTAATCAGTTGAGACAAATATATATATGATATATATCTACAAATGAAGAGATATTTACTTACTGTAAGACAGGTTTGAGAGAAACGGGAAAGAGAGAAGATACAGAGAAACGTTCAGAGTAAAATTCTCGAATGTTAGTCTTGTGTATAGATGTGTATTTGTGTAAAATACGTATGTGTGAGCGTGTGTGAATGTATGTGTGTGTGTGTGCGTGTATGCGTACAGTGTTTTCCCCAGCAATAACAAAACTTACTTGATTGATGAGTCAACATAGAGTGTTGTGTATATATAGTTCCTACCAAAAATAATTATTTCTTGTTATATACTAAGAAACCCGAACAGATATCCGCAGTGTCGCTACCAATAATATATGACATGAGAAAAAGAAATGAGGTGATAAAAGAGAGAGAAAGAAAGAAAAGAGGAGAGAATTGGTCCACGAGGAAAGATGATAAATGTAGTGATAAAAATAGTTATTAAGAAGAGATAAGAAGTCATTCCATTATTTCGTTCTTTGTCCCTGGCATGTCTCTCCTCTTCTCTCTTATTTCATTACTCCTGGTTTATTGTTAACCTCATTCCCCTTTCGCGACATCCCCCCCCCCCCCCGACCGTTCATCCCCCACTCCTTTCCCATATTATTATATTAAGCGGATTTGACAATGTTTTCAAGTTCCTTTCAAACAAAAAATAAGGAAAAAAAAACAAATAAAAAAAAATCCTTTGTTTTTACCAGTTCTCTTTCCTCTTTTATCCTTCTTCCTCCTCCTCTTCGTCAGTCCATAGTGCTAGGACTTTTATTTCTTTTGTTAGACCCGCCAGTTATTGAAAGATGTTTCCCGTTTATTGTTTTATGTAATATATATATGTATATACATATATATATATATATAAAGATAATGTGTCTGTGTTATTGGCAAATTATTGTGTTTCATTGCCTTCTTATTAAAAAAAAAAAATCGCCGCACTTCTACGGACAGCCAAGAGATGGCGCTGAGTAAAAATAACGCCATCTATGGGCATTAATCACAAGTTCAGGGAAAGTGACCTTCAACAAGGGGCGGGAAAAAGAAAGCAAAGGAAAAAAAAATAAAGACCTGAAAAAGAAATGAAAACAGTATCAGATGCATAAAAAACAATGCAGTTATTTGACAAAAAGATAATAATGACACCTGAAAATAACAATAACAATAACGATGATAATGATAATCACAACAAATATCAACTTCCATATACAGTTTTAACAGAAAACATTGAGTTTCCACAAAGAAATGAAAAGAAAACCGTCTAAAACCCTATAAAAGAAGAAAATATAAAAGCTAAATTTGACAATCACTTTTCTAATGAACTCGATAAAAAAGCAAGGAAAAAAAGGGTTATTTTGTCCTTGGGAAATCTGAAACTTCACATTCAATTGAAGCAATAACAAAGTTTATAAGTCAATGTTCTTGGATTTTGATTCCACATGCCTCCTTTGAAAACCAAAATATGGCACTGATGTAAGTAACGATAGTAATTGTAATGATAATCATTCTGGAATGAACGTTATCATACCACACACACACACACACACACACACACAACACACACACACACACACACACACACACACACACACACACACACACACACACACACACATATATATATATATATATATATATATATATATATATATATATATATATATATATATGTATGTATATATATATATATATATATATATATATATATATATATACTATATATATACATATATATACATATTACTACCAATGACGCCTTGAATTTTTAGAGAATAATTAAAATGCAATTATAAACATTATACATAATCGAGAATCTGAGCTTTGTATAAATGGTAGAAAACATGTTAACAAATTCAAATTCAAACAGAAAACTGGGATATCACCAAAGTTCCACATGAGAAACGTGCAAATAATAGACAATAAAAAAGTAAGTGCAACATAAATGAACGAAAATATTGACACAACAACATAAAAGATAAAATGAAAACTATGACAACAAGAAAGAACAATTTCAGAATCATATCCGTCTTTTTTTCTTTTCTTTTTTGTCTTTTTTGAAGCTCTTGAATAACGTGATCGCTGCCAACTCCGAGTTCTCATTTGATAATGAAAGCAGCCTTCAAATTGCCTAATTAAATCAAATTTGTTTAGAAAACACGAGGGAAAAAGAATTACATAGAGAGAGAGAGACAAAAAAAGAAAAAAAAAACACGGTTGTATGACGTAGACGAAAGAGAAAATAAAAAATAAACTGAAGTAAGTAAAGGGTGGGGGGATACGAACTCAAAACAAAATTAAATAATTCCTTTTTTTACCCCTCCTTTTTCCTCTTCAGATTTTATGCAATCATTTCATCAAAGAGGGAAAGCAAAAGAATGCTCCAGTTACCGAAATGTAGTTTAGAGATCCGTGTCATAGCAAAGTGCTAGTTACCCTCTCGCCGGGTTTTTCGTCCGTTTTTTCCTTGCATGTGTCCCCGGTCGACGTTGCCGGCATGGCGATGTACGCAAATCACTTCGCAAACACTAGTTCTCATGAATAACTGAGTGCGGGGTGAGATAGCGAGAGAGGATGGGGTGAGGGAGACGGGAGGGAGTGGAGGGTGGAGAGAAAGAGAGAGAGAGAGGGGAGGGAGAGAGAGAGAGAGAGAGAGAGAGAGAGAGAGAGAGAGACAGAGAGACAGACAGACAGACAGAGAGAGAGAGATAGCGAGAGAGGATGGGGTGAGGGAGAGGGGGAGGGAGGTGGAGGGTGGAGAGAAAGAGAGAGAGAGAGGGGAGGGAAGGAGAGAGAGAGAGAGAGAGAGAGAGAGAGACAGACAGACAGACAGAGAGATAGCGAGAGAGGATGGGGAGAGGGGAGGGGGAGGGAGGTGAGGGTGGAGAGAAAGAAGAGAGAGAGGGGAGGGAAAAGAGAGAGAGAGAGAGAGAGAGAGGAGAGAGAAGAGAGAGAGGAGAGAGAGAGAGAGAGAGAGAGAGAGAAGGAGAGAGAGAGAGAGAGAGAGAGAGAGAGAGAGAGAGAGAGAGAGAGAGAGAGAGAGAGAGAGAGAGAAGAGAGAAGAGACGAGAGAGAGAGAGAGAGAGAGACAGACAGACAGACAGAGAGATAGCGAGCGGAGATGGAGTGAGGAATAGGAGAGAGGGAGGTTGAGGGAGGGAGGGAGAGAGAAGAGAAAGAGAGAGAGGAGGAGAGAGGAGAGAGAAAGAGAGAGAGGAGAGAGACCGAGAGACAGAGAGAGAGAGAGGAGAGGAGAGAGAGAGAGAGACGAGAGGACAGACAGAAGAGATAGCGAATGGTGTGAGGGAGAGGGGGAGGAAGCTGAGGCTGGGAGTGGAGTGAGAGAGAGAAGGGGGGAGGGAGGAAGAGAGAAAGAGAGAGAGATAGATGTAGAGTAGAGAAAAGGTTAGGGGAGGTTTGGAGTGGAGCGAAACGGGAGGTAGGAGGAGAGAAAAGAAAGAGAGTGAGAGAGAAAATGGGCGGGGGCGAAGAGAAGGAGTAGAGGAGGAGAGAAAGAGAGACAGACATACAAACGGGCAGAGAGACAGATACACAGGGACAAAGAACGAGAGAGAGAAGGAGAGAAAAAGAGAAGTTGGAAGTGAGAGAAAGGGTGGCGTGAAAATTATGGGAGAGAGGAGAGAGAGAGAGAGAGAGAGAGAGAGAGAGAGAGAGAGAGAGAGAGAGAGAGAGAGAAGAGAGAGAGAGAGAGAGAGAGAGACGAGAGAGAGAGAGTCAGTCAGAAAGAAGAGAGAGAGACAGATAGAGGGAGGAAGAGAGAGAGAGAGAGAGTAGATGAAAAGATTGGAGTAAGGAAGGA